GTGTGTGTGTGTGTGTGTGTGTGTGTGTGTGCTTCCCACAAGGATAGTAAAACCTGAAATTTTTGACATTCGAGAGAAACAAATTGTTAAAAATAGTAAATTATGTTTATCTGAAAGTGTAAGAATTCAAACAGGTTTTCTGTAAGGGGTAGGTTTAGGGGATAGAAAATATCGTTTGGTCAGTATAAAAGTAATAGAAGTCTATGGAAAGTCCCCACAATTGACAGAAACAAACGTACGTGTGTGTGTGTGTGTTGCAGGTGTGTGAGTTTGCGCTGCGTCTGTCCAGTGGAAACGCCGAGCCGCTGCCCATCTCTGTGAGAAAGCAGCTCTGCAGCACGTGGGTCTGCGTTAAACAGCTGCTGCAGCAGCAGATCGGACACAAACTGGACATCAACGATGAGGTGACGCCAACAACAGAACAAACACACTGCGTTTGGATCATCAGATGGACGATTTTACCTAGAATAAGATCAGTGTTGGGAAGGATACTCTGGAAATGTAATAGGTTACAAATTGCAAGTTACCCTATTTAAGTAGTGTTTCAATTACTTTATTAATGTAACTGATGACATTTGATTACTTTTCTAAGTTTCTGCTGAATGTTTTCAACTGTTAATCATTTTGAAGCATGTAAAGCAGGCAGGGTTAACATTACAGTCGCACTCAACACTGATTACTGTCAGACTTTCAGAATCCTTCATCGCTTGAATTAAGATTATACACCACAAAATCAGACTTTTAACACCTCCTTTTTACTCAAACAATGTTCTGAGGTTAAATACAGATTTAAAATCATAACAAGAAACCGTTTAATAGCTCTGATATTGTTTTTGAAATCAAATCTTTGCATAGCTATGACAGGAAACACTTGCATCTAACAATGCTTTGGAAAAAAAATGTTAATCTTAAAAAATAAAGCATATACATAAACCCCAAAAAAGACACATATCCTATTCTATGTCCTAAACTCCTGAAACACTGGTTTGCAGTCAATGCAGTTTATGAAAGAAATCAATCAAATCTGTATGTGTGTGAAAATATTCAGATATAATCCCTTTGTAATCGTTAACATTTTCATAAGTAACACATTTTTGATTACTTTTCTAAGTTTCTACTGAATGTTTTCAACTGTTAATCATTTTGAAGCATGTAAAGCAGGCAGGGTTAACATTACAGTCGCACTCAACACTGATTACTGTCAGACTTTCAGAATCCTTCATCGCTTGAATTAAGATTATACACCACAAAATCAGACTTTTAACACCACCTTTTTACTCGAACAATGTTCTGAGGTTAAATACAGATTTTAAATCATAACAAGAAACCGTTTAATAGCTCTGATATTGTTTTTGAAATCAAATCTTTGCATAGCTATGACAGGAAACACTTGCATCTAACAATGCTTTGGAAAAAACAGTTAATCTTAAAAAATAAAGCATATACATAAACCCCCAAAAAAGACACACATCCTATTCTATGTCCTAAACTCCTGAAACACTGGTTTGCAGTCAATGCAGTTTATGAAAGAAATCAATCAAATCTGTATGTGTGTGAAAATATTCAGATATAACGTTAACATTTTCATAAGTAACAAATGTTTTTCTCAGTAAATGTAACAGAGTACAGTTACATTTATTTTGTATTTACATAATTCCATTACATGTAACTAGTTACTCCCCAACACTAAATAATATGCAAAATTGACCCGATTTTAATCAAAAGTCTGGCTGTGGAGGCTTAACCCTGTAAAGCCTGACATATGAAATAATAGTCAGAAAATCTATTCATTTTTACTGAACAAAAAAATCTAAAAGAAAAATGTTTGCACGTTTTGTCGAGTATCATATTTGATGCATCAGGCTTTTATGGCTCATATAGTCTGATATAGTGAGAATATGGAAGAAAAACGGCTCAATTTTATAAATAAAATATGAATTTGCTGCAGATGCTGATATTTCTATGATGACATTCTGCTGCTTGTAATGTAAATCAATGAGATCTTTATAACAGTGCAGCAGATACTGATATAAAATTATCTAAATACCAGTCGTCGCTCTATATCTCCAGTAATCTGTCTCAGAGAGATGAGATTGAAATGATCCAAACATATAATGCAGTGATTGAGAGCTGAAGAAATAAAGGCTCCTCAGAAGATGTGAGATGTTCTGGAGGCTTGTGAAGATCATTCCTCCGCTGAGGAACAGTGAAAGTAAAGCTTCTGGAAACAAACGCTCCTCAAAAGATCCTGAGGATCAGATTTGAGACTCTAAAACATGATTGATGGAGAATCAAGTAAAGCTGAGCTGCTTCAGTCCAGTAAGTGTTCATCTGGAGATATTACTGCAGTTATTCTGATGCTTACTTGATCAAAATCAGTCAAGATTTGACACGAGAAGCAGCAGCTGAAGCTGGAAGCTTGTACAATTACACTAAAAGAGCTTTCACTGGATAAAACACTCTAAACGATCAATCAGAAGACAGAAGACATGCAGGAGATTGAGTGTGAGACAGCTTTAACAGCAGAGTTTGATCGTTTAGAGCCTGTGTATCACATATGAATCAGTAGCTTTATGGGGTTAATATTCCTCGTTTCATGTCTGTACCTGCTTTATTGTGTGTGTGTGTCAGAGTAAGAACGAGGCGGTGACAGCCATGTCCCGTGTGCTGGTCGCAGTGGAGATGCTTCAGTGTAACAGGAGCTCCAGACTGATGCAGTTCACCGTTCCCAGTCTGTCTGTGGTGAGAGCTGCTCAGTATCATCATAACCTGTTAAAACTGCTTTCAGCAAAATACAGTAAAAATTGTGAAATATTATTAGAATGTAAAACAGCTGTTTTCTGTGTGAATATCTGTTAAACTGTACTGTATTTCTGTGATGCGCAGCTGTATTTTCAGCATCATTACTCCAGTCTTCAGTGTCACATGATCTTCAGAAATCATGTATCATGAAAACTGTGATTACTATTTAAAAGTTCGGGGTAAGCAAGATAATATATTTGAAATTAATACTTTTATTCATCAAGGACACATTAAATTGATCAAAAGTGTCAGCAAAGACCTTTATAATGTTACAAAATATTTCTATTTCAAATAAATGCCGTTCTTTTGAATTTTCTATCCATCTGTGAATCCTGAAAAATAGAATGTATCAGTTTCCACACAAATATGAAGCAGTGCAACTGTTTTCAACATTGATTATACAATGTTGAATGTGTTTGCAATTCTCTCTGTTGTTGCAGAAAGCGAGACTTATATATACACATACAGTACATAAATGAAGTGATTCCTGACTTGTATCAGAGAGCGTTAAGTGTCCAGCTCACTGTAAATCAGGCTGAAAGCCGCTGTCAGGATCAGTTGATCAGCTGTAGAGTGTGATATACAGTATATATATATATATATATATGTAAGATCAGCGTGTCTCTTCTTCAGCTGGTTCAGATGGCGTTGGGCTGTCAGTGGTCTGATCCGGTCGTGGAGCTGAATGTGTGGACACAGCTCGCTCTGTTCGCCCATCAGACACAAGACCACAGCCTTGTCCTCACCTGCACCCATAATGCACTGCAGCTGGAGCAGAACGCAGCACAAAGAGTGAAGACGGCCACTTATGCTCTGTGAGTGCCACTGATGTATGTGACCCTGGAGCACAAAACCAGTCATAAGGGTCATTTTTTTGAAATTGAGATTTTATACATTTATACATAAATAAGCTTTCCATTGATGTATGGTTTGTTAGGATAGGACAATATTTGGCTGAGATAAAACTATTTGAAAATCTGGAATCTGAGGGTGCAAAAAAATCTAAATATTGAGAAAATCATCTTTAAAGTTGTCCAAATGAAGTTCTTAGCAATGCATATTACTAATCAAACATTAAGTTTTAATATATTTACAGTAGGAGATTTACAAAATATCTTCATGGAACATGATCTTTACTTAATATCCTAATGATTTTTGGCATAAAAGAGAAATGTATAATTGTGACCCATACAATGTATTGTTGGCTATTGCTACAAATATCCCCCAGCGACTCAACACTGCTTTTGTGCTGCAGGGTCACCGCACTGCCTACAATTAGACTAATAAACTAGATTCTTTGTCATGTTTGCTGTATGAAATACAATAGTTGTTTCTAACTAACTTTGAGGTGCTGATTGCAAAAATAGTAGTCGTGTTGCTCATTCATGTCAAACTTTTGCATTCAAATATGATGCATTTCATAGCATTTTTGCTTTTGACAACCATTTGTGTGGTGAATTAGTCTTGTATTCTCCCAGGTTCAGCGTGCGTTTGGTGCAGGAGATGTTGAGCAGCGCTGCGTGTGTCAGAGGTCAGAGTCTGATCCAGGAGGCCAGAGCTCATCACAGCAGATATATGGAGGGTCTGCTCAAGCTGCAGCACAGCGTCAGGTCTGAACACCACTGCACGAGTCAAACAGATTATTCTACATATTTCAGAGTTTATCAGCTTCATGTTGAAGTCATACCATTTGTGTGTGCTGTATAACAGGTCTGAACAGGGTTTGGGGTTGTTTTGCACACAATTTTAAATGTTTGTGGGTAAAAGCACACCCTGATATGAATAAAAAAACAACTAAACAATTAAACCATTACATTTGCATGCTTTGTGCTCAAACATAAAATAACATTCAAAAAGTAAAAAAAATGAAGTTGTAATTACTGTGTACAGTGTATTCACAATTTGTGAAATTGGAAAATTAAAAAAAAAAATGTTTTTTCGTTTTTCCTCATTTATTTTTTTATTATTTGTGTAATGTGTATTTGTTGTTTTGATCTGTTTGCTATTGGTTACTATTGACTATTTTTAGCAAATAGTATTTTTAATATATTTAGTATATTTTAAACTATTTACTGTTTTTATTGATTGATTGAGTTAGGGTTGTCTTCCAAAAATCCTAACAATTATGAATTATAATAATACTATACGGAGCCCATAACAATAAAAAAAAAGCATACAAAAATATATTGTGCCCATTTTTGAATTCATGGATAATAAGCGAGATTTCAGTGATATTTTGAATAATAATTTTTGCAGAAAGCACATGCTTTGTACCCAAAATGAGCCTAAAATGCAAAATAATTAGGGATAGTAAAGATCCATTTCCAAAAGCACAAACATTAAATAACATTTGAAACATTAAAAAAACAAACGTGTAATTACTGTATATAGTGTATTCACAGTTTGTGAACATTTACATTCACATTTAGACATTTAGCAGACGCTTTTGTCCATGGCGAAAGTAAAAGAAGTGCATAAAGAAAACTCAAGCCTATTTTTAGAATCAAAAAGATTTTGTGATATTATTCTCAATTAAGCACCAATTGCAATCTCATTACTGTAATGCATCTCAATGTTTTATTTTACTAAAATAATATATATCATAATGAATAATATCTAATAACAATGATAAATATATAATATTTATCTTATTCACAAACCCACAAAATGCCACTAAAACAAGTACAACTATGATGTATAAACAACGTGATTCATAATTTGTCCTATAAACAGGCTGCAATTTCTTATTCATTTTCAAGCTCGTTAGATTCATCACTGCAATGTAAATCTGTTCATAAACTGACCAATATCTTTATCATCATACAAACAACAGAAAAGGTCAAAGATGCGTACACATTTAAGATATTGAATATAATTAGAAAATTGTAAAAAAAAAAAAAAAAAGTTTTTTAAATACAGTTTTTGTTTATCATATGTTCAGATTTTTTATTTATGTAATGTGTTTTTGTGAATTCATAATTTTTTTTAAATATAGTACTGTTTTGATCTGTTTGTGATTGGTTACTTTCTATTATTTTATATTAACCAGATAGGGTTATTTGACAAAAAATTAATTAATAATAATAATATATGTGACCCTGGAGCACAAAACCAGTCGCTGGGGTATATTTGTAGATTTGGTTTATATTTTGTATATATTATCAAATATAATATCAAAATTATTGATTTTTCTTTTATGCCAAAAATCATATTTTGTACATTTCCTACCGTAAATATATCAAAACTTAATGTTTGATTAGTAATATGCATTGCTAAGAGCTTCATTTGAACAACTTTAAAGATGATTTTCTCAATATTTTGATTTTTTTACACCCTCAGATTCCAGATTTTCAAATAGTTGTATCTCAGCCAAATATTGTCCTATCCTAACATAACCATACATCAGTGGAAAGATTATTTATGCTTATTTATTTATTCTGCTTCCAGATGATGCAGAAATCTCAATTTCGAAAAAATGTACCCTTATGACTGGTTTTGTGGTCCAGGGTCACATATGGAACCTGCAACAATTTTAAAACATTTAATTCGTAAATAACAAGAAGTGGGATTTCAATGATATTTTGACTACTAAACTCACTAAACTACAAAAAGTGCCAAGTTTCTGTTTCAGAAATCTGCTCAGTTTTATGCTGAATGTGCTTCTGAGCTGTCCTGGTCTGATCTGTGGCTGCTGATGTTGTGTGTGTGTTGTAGTTTTGCGGAGCAGGCGGGCAGCTGGAGTCTGTGTATGAGCGCAGCAGCTCACTTCTGGAGCGCGTGTGTGCCTCTGCTGGACTCGAGACGGGACAGACGTCAGCTGAGAGGAGCGCTGGAGCTCATCCTGAAGACCATCAGCCAAACATACAGCAAACACACAGCCGTAAGACACCACCAGCACACACGCACCATCACCTCATGAGTGTGATGCTGTCAGAAACCTGTTTCATATGTCCAGTATATAAATATGCTTTATATTCATGTGTTCAGGGCAAAACTAAAAGAGCGTCTGGACTCAAGCGTGATGGACCAGATACCACAAGTGAGAATTATTTGGCTTTTACTCAATGAAGCATTTCTGTGATGTATGTGCTTATGTCATATTACTGAAGCCAGAAATAGGATTTTAATAATACACTTTTATAAAGTGGTTTATGATCATATACTGTAGCTTATGCATGCATTGTTAGTATATTATATTTAACCATAACATTTTACACTGCAAAAATTTTTCTAATTTTGTATTTTTGTCTTGTTTCCAGTATAACTATCTAAACATCCTTAAATCAAGATGCATTTAATTGGGAAGCGAAATGACCAAAAATATTGAGTCTTGTTTTTCTTTGTTTTTTTTAAACCGATTAAAATAAATGAAAAAAAAAAAAAAGCATGTCAGTGGGAAAACAGGATTATTTTTCTGATCCCATTGGCAGATATTTTGTCTTGTTTTAAGCATAAACTCACTTGATTTTGATACATTTCCCAAAAAAGCAAGACTTAATGTCTTATGTCACATTTTGCTTTCTTGATTTAAGGATATTTCGATATTTTTACTGGGAAAAAGACTAATGCTGAGGATGAAAATCATTTCTTGCGGTGTAGTAATGAGTTCCAGAAGCTTTAAAGGGATAGTTCACCCAAAATGAAAATCCTCTCATCATTTACTCACCCTCGTGTTGTTCCAAACCAACAAGCCTTTGGTTAATCTTCAAAACACAAGTTTAGATACTTTTAATGAAATCTGAGAGGTTGCTGTCCCTCCATTGAAAGGCCAGATATCCGGTCACAATACTTGAATTAAACCACTCGATTCATATACGTTCATTTTTACGACACCTTTATGAACTTGTTGGGTCTTTAAAGTTTTGGTTACCCAGACTTTCAGTGGAGAGACAGAAACCTGTCAGATTTCAGTAATTTGTTTTAAAAATAAACCAAAGTCTTATGGGTTGAAATGACATGAGGGTGAGTAAATTATGTCAGAAGGATTTTTTAGGTGAGCTATCCATTTAATTCTTCTGAAAAATATTTTATGTTTTAGGAGTTAAATTATTCGATGATCCAGTTCAACCGTACTAAGCAAAAATAACACATTTGTGTTCAGTGTTGGGGAAAAAGTTACTTTTAAAAGTGATGCATTACAATGTTGCGTTACTCCCTAAAAAAGTTACTAATTACGATACTTAGTTAATTTTTATGGAAAGTAATACGTTACGATACTTTTGAGTTACTTTTTAAATCTGGGCGGGGCTTGCTTGTTTGTTTTTAAAATAAAAAGTTCTATTTTTGGCAAATATAAAGCCCTTTCACAGCAAAAAGTGAAATGAATATGGAAATGTAAATTCACGTCTGTAAAGTAAAAGTAAAGTAATTTTCTTGTAAACTAAAAAAGTAATGCGTTACTTTACTAGTGACTCGAAAAAAGTAATCTGACTCCGTAACTCGCGTTACTTGTAAATCGTTACCCCCCAACACTGTTTGTGTATAATTTGTGTTATTGCTGAATAGTGTTGAACTTTCTTCTCCTCGTCATATTCTTCATGTGATTAGTTTGAGCGGCGCCCTCTACTGTACAGACGTGAATTTACATGTACAGGTGTGAAAGAGTATTTACATTTGTAAAAGAAGAACGTTTTTATATTAAAAACAAACAAGCAAGCCCCGCCCAGATTTAAAAAGTAACTCAAAAGTAATGTAACGCATTACTTTCCATAAAAAGTAACTAAGTATCGTTATTAGTTACTTTTTTAGGAAGTAACGCAACATTGTAATGCATCACTTTTAAAAGTAACTTTCCCCAACACTGGATACAAATGTATGTCGCTGTGGAATTCAGGTATCCATGGCAACCGCACAGGAAGTGATGAATGATTCGGCGGGAGATCAAGACGTGCGATCCGCCAGCTCCAGAAAAGACAAGGAGAGACCAGACGAGAAGAAGACCAAACAGGTGAGACTAGTGAGCTGGTAATAACAGAGCTTCACTGATCACCAATCATCTGTAGGATGGCTGCAAAACCTTCATTACATATTAATTACATATCTGTTTTTGCACTTTGTATGTAGGTGTGACTGGGGCTAGTTGTCACATTTTTAATGGTTTTCTTTTCCCTTTTTTTTTTACTTTTTTACTTTTTGAAAGTCAGTGTCTATAAAAACAGACTTTAGAATTTTGACTATAAAAAGTCAGTTTACGTTAACATGTTGAAATGTTATAACATGTTAATTTAGTATAGTGGGGCATGTTGTCACAATAGAAAGAGTACATTTTCACAATAAGTTTTTATTCACTTTTCAGCGCAGTCAGTCAAATAATTATTAGTAAATAATACAGTCAGTAAATAATAATTATTAGACAGAAAACATGAAAAGGTTAACACAGATTTCTGACTACTGTGGACAACAGAAAGTGTAATTAATTAATTATTTTTAAAGTTTCTTCTGCTCAGCAATGCTGCATTTATTTGATCAAAAATATAGTAAAAACTAATATTATGAAACTGTTTTCTATTTGAATATATTTTAAAATGTAATTAGTATAGAAATTAATATGCTGATTTGCTGCTCAAGAAACATTTCCGATTATTATATTATGTTGAAAACATTAATATTTTTGTGGAAACTGTGATGCATTTTATTTTTCAGGATTCACAGATGAACAGAAAGTTCAGAAGAACAGCATTTATTTGAAACAGAAATCTTTTGTAACATTATAAATGTTTTTACTGTCACTTTTGATCAATTTAATGTGTCCTTGATGAAAAAAAATATTAATTGCTTTTTTTTAAGTCTTACTTACCCCAAAATTTTGAATGGTAATTTATCATATTTTCATCAAACATATTAAGCAGCAGAATTTATCTAAATATCATTGCATTAGATACAAAATATCAAACCAAGTTTTATTATTATTATATTTTACAATATTGTTATTGTTTCATATTTTGAATCCTACATTATAAATGTCTTTACTGTCGCTTTTAACCAATGTAATGTTTCCTTGATTAATAAAAGTGTTCATTTCTTAAAGAAATCATTGAACTTTAGTGTACATGTATATACAGTGATGTACATATCTTTTATTTCTGCAGCCGTCTCCTGTGGAGGACCGACCCAGAGCTAAAGCTGCAGACGTGTCTCTTCCCATCAGCCCCGAGCAGTGGGCTCAGTTCCAGTGTCCTGAGGAGCTTCGACAGGCCTTTCTTTCTGACGCCGGTCCTTACAGCATCAACAGCACATCCATCAGCGCACAGGTCAGCAGATCTCTCTCTGTGTGTTTACACATCACTCGTCTCTCAGATAATCACAGTTTCTGATCGATCGCACGCTGGTTTCTGAGCTGCATGAGGGAGAAGAGGAAATATTCATCTTTAGGGTGAAGCAATATTATCTGTGACTCAAAGCATCTTCCTCGTCGAATTAAGGAGAATCATCTCACTGAACAAAAAGTGTCTTGGGTTGTCCAGGTTAAATGTCAGCTGATATAAACCTCCATTGGGTCATCTTTATCGTCCAGACTTGCTATTTGAGAACATCAGGAAGTGTTTTTTTTTTTGCATTGTGACAATATGTTCACATTTAAATACATCTATTCTTTTGTAAGTTTTGGGGTTTGTATAATTTTATGTTTTTGAAAAAAAAAAACATACAAAAACAGTAAAGCAAAGCTGTTTTAATTCAAATGTAATTAAAAAGCTTATATATATACTGTATATATATATGTGTATTTAAATTATATATATTTAAGTTGTACTATATTTTAAAATAATTTTAATTATACTATTCTTTTCTCTCTTTTTTGCTCTTCTGCTCACTAAGGCTGCATTTATTTGTTTACAAAAAATAGAATAATATTGTTAAATATTATTCTAATGTAAAACAGCTGTTTTCTATGTGAATCTCTGTTAAACTGTAATGTATTTCTGTGATGCGCAGCTGTATTTTCAGCATCATTACTCCAGTCTTCAGTGTCACATGATCTTCAGAAATCAGTATAATATGCTGATCTGCTGCCCGAGAAACATTTCTGATTATTATCAATGTCGAAAACAGTTGTGCTGCACAGTATTTTTGTGGAAACCGTGATATATTTTATTTTTCAGGATTCACAGATGAACAGAAAGTTCAAAAGAACAGCGTTTATTTGAAATAGAAATATTTTGTAACATTATACATATCTTTACTGACACTTTTGATGAATTTAGTGCGTCCTTGCTGAACAAAAGTAATTATTGTTTGATTTGTGAAGTTACATTGCATGTGTTTAATGGGTTGTTTCAGAGCCGAACTCTGTTTTATTTGGATCTGTTGGTGAAAGAGCTGGAGTCGCTCTCCTTGACCCCGCTGACCTTTGCCCCTCTCCACCTGGCAGAGGTCATCGCTCGCGACCTCATGCAGAGCAGGAGTCAGTCTGACCTCTACCGCCTCAGGTAACCCTCACACACAGCTGGACATCGCACATCACATCAGATATCACAGTGAGATGTGACTGATTTCATCATCTCTCAGGATCATCAGGAGCTGTGGTGATCTGGGGTTCGAGTCTCCGTACTCGGAGCATCTGCTGAGCTTCACACACGTTCCTGCAGACGAGCAGATGCGGTACGATTCTCTAAATCTGTGTTTCCCAGCCGTTTTTCTGCCGCGGCATGGTTTTGATGTGTGAAAAATCCCACGGCACACCACATCATCATAGTTGGTATTTTGGCTTTACATATGATCAGACACTTGCACTTAATTGCTGAAAATCATAATCATTAACAAGGGGTTTGATGACTGAATGACGGAGTTCTGTGTTTTTGTCCACCGCATCTGAGGCAGTTAATTAATCGCATTATGTTTTGATCAGTTCGCAGGTTATAAAGTTTATTGTAGCTATATGGGCGCTCAGTTTCTCTTGATGTTTAATACATTTGGCCAAAATCTCACGATATAAAAGACGAACCGCTATGCACAGGGTATTTAAAACGTACAAAAGTGTAATTGGCTACAACTAGACAGCAATGCTAAGACTCTTCTCTGCTCTTTAAACACACAAAAACATTCGCCTTTATAGACGGTGTTTAAAGTGAGTAAAGAAAACGCTGTATTTATTCAAACATCAGTTCTTTATTAACGTTGCATTGTGAAGAAGTAGACGTCTGCGCCGGACGCTCCGCCACGTCTGGCTGCCGAGGGGACGGAGGAACTCAACAGGGTCTACTGTATGGACTCTCTGGAGTGATTTTGCAAGCCGACCCGAAGCCGGGGCCTCTCAGTGCTTCTACCCGTTTGAGGTGAGAACACAGGAGGATACCGGCTCCACACGAAGGCTATAGAATCTAGCGAATGTGTTAGGGGTCGCCCAGCCCGCAGCCCTACAGATATCTGTCAGCGAGGCGCCACGAGCCAGCGCCCAGGAGGATGCAACACCTCTAGTTGAGTGAGCTCGCAGCCTGAGCGGGCAGGGCACACCCTGTGCCTGATAAGCCAGGGTGATGGCGTCCACTATCCAGTGGGCCATCCTCTGCTTTGAGACGGCATTCCCCTTCTGCCGGCCTCCGTGACAGACAAAGAGCTGGTCTGAGGTCCTGAAGCTTTGCATTCGGTCTACGTAGCACCTTAAGGTTCGGACGGGACAGAGCAAAACTAGGGCTGGGTCTGCCTCCTCCGAGGGCAGCGCTTGGAGGTTCACCACCTGATCCCTGAAGGGAGTAGCGGGAACCTTGGGCACGTAGCCGGGCCGGGGCCTCAGGGTTACCTGGGAATCAGCCGGCCCGAACTCTAGGCACGAATCGTTGACCGAAAATGCGTGCAGGTCCCCTACCCTCTTGATAGAGGCCAATGCCAGCAGGAGCAAAGTCTTCATTGAGAGGAACTTCAGCTCCACTGCCTGTAAAGGCTCAAATGGGGCCTGCTGTAGTGCCGTGAGCACCAGACTCAGGTCCCAAGAGGGTATAGAGGGGGGCCGTGAAGGATTTAACCTTCTCGCCCCCCTAAGGAACCTGACGACCAAGTCATGCTTCCCCAACGACCTCCGCAGCGACATAAACTTTAAGGGTGGAGGGAGACGGCCTTCGCTCCAGCCCTTGCTGCAAGAAGGACAGCACACCTCTGATCAGGCATCTCCGGGGGTCTTCTCGGCGAGAAGAACACCACTCAACGAACAGGTTCCACTTCAAAGCGTAGGCGTGTCTCGTAGACGATGCCCTCGCTGAAGTGATGGTGTCAACTACCCCTTGGGGTAGGCCACCTAGAACCTCCGCGTCCCGTCCAGGGACCAGACATGAAGTCTCCAGAGGTCTGGACGCGGGTGCCAAAGGGTGCCCCGTCTCTGAGTCAGTAAATCCATCCTCAGAGGAATCGGCCAGGGAGGGGCTGCGGGAACCAGGTCTTGGTAGGCCAATAGGGCGCCACCAGCAGGACCTGCTCCTCGTCCTCCCTGACCTTGCACAGCAACTGTGCCAGAAGGCTCACTGGGGGAAACGCATACTTGCGAAGGCCCCGCGGCCAGCTGTGTGCCAGAGCGTCCGTGCCGAGTGTTCCGTCGGTCAGGGCGAAGAACAACTGGCAGTGAGAGGTTTCTGGAGAGGCAAACAGGTCTACCTGAGCGGCTCCGAAACGTCCCCAAACCAGCTGGACCATCTGGGGATGGAGTCGCCATTCTCCCGGGCGCGCAGCTCGGGACAGCTCGTCGGCTGCCCGGTTGAGCAGCCCAGGAATGTGAACAGCACGAAGCGACCTCAGATGATTCAGACTCCAGAGGAGGAGGTGGCGGGTGAGTTGCGATAAGCGACAGGAGCGGCTGCAGCGGTCTCATATGGAGTAGCCCCAGTGGCATGACTGCCGCTGTGGCCGCCATATGCCCCAGGAGCCTCTGAAACAATTTCAGTGGGACCGCCATCCTGCTCTTGAATGTATTCAAGCAGTTCAACACCGACTGAGCACGTTCCTGCGTGAGGCGTGCTGTCTGTTCGACCGAGTCCAACTCCATACCGAGAAAAGAGATAACGGTTTGCCCCGCCAAGTGGTAGCGGCATTTGGACACAATTGCATCGCCACCGACCGCTCCACCTGGGGGACTCCCGTGTACCCCCGCGCTGGACCCCCATCGAGGGTGGTGAGGGAGGATGAGCCACTGGGCCGGTTTCTGGCAGTAAAAGGTGCCGTCCATGACCCAGCGATCTCATCATGCACTTCCGGGAAGAAAGGCACTGGAGTGGGGCCCTGAGAACCAGCGCGCGCCACCCCGAGAAACCAATCGTCCAACCTTGAGGGTTCGGGACGCGGTGGAATATTCCACTCGAGCCCGACACTCTCGGCTCCCCGGGAAAGCATAGCCATCATTTCCGGGTCCGTCTCCGGCACCGCTGACCGCCCAGAGGGCAGCAGCGCTGACGGATCTTCATCCCTGGAAAAGTCCGGCTCACCCTCCGATGCTGCAATCGACATCCGATCGTCGGGGGGAGCCTCAGAAGAAACAAGTGGTACCCCCCGGGAGGGGCCAGCCTGCTCTACTGAAAGCTACGCTGGTTTCGCAGTGCCGGCGGGTTCGGGCATCCCTGGAGGGGAATTCCTCACCGTGACCCTAAGACCAGTCCGCCCACTGCTAGAAAAAGGACGCCCCCGGCTGCTGGGCATGTTGTTGGTTTAGATGCAGTGATAAGTTTATTTAGCTCTTCCTGTCCTATAGTTGTAAAGCACTGCAGTTTATCTTTTGGTGCGATGAATGAAGCTGAAGTATTATACGCTGTAGAATCTACATTTGTTATTGTATTTCTGATGTTATTTAGTTTGTCAGTGAAGAAATTCATAAAGTCATTACTGGGTGAGTTATGAGGTTTGATTGACAGTTTGAGGATCCAATGGCGTTACGAGGTTTAGTCACAAGCTCTTTCGAATGCTTTTCTTTGGTTAAATATTTGTAAATCCCACAAACAGACGTAACGATGACCAATAGCACTGATTTAAAATAATAATAACAAAATGTAATAGAGATAAGGAAGATTTTGATAATTTTCCACGGCACACAGTGGTTGGGAAACACTGCTTTAAATTAACCGCTGGAGTCGTTAATCAGGTTCGGTCATTATCAAGTGCTTCATAGTGTTTAACTCGACTTGATTTGATTTCAGGAGCCAGAGAGCCGTCGTTACACAGAGAAACGGATCTCAGAGCGACGTGACGGACGAGGTCAGTAGCACTCAGCACATTAACCCTCATAATCTATGTACAGTTTTCACATTCTGGGTCCGACTGGACCTGAAGAATCGTTATTTTATAAAACAGCCATAACTTAATTTATTAATATTTTTCAAAATATTAGATGGATGGATGGATGGGTGGATGGATGGATGGTTGGATGGATGATAGATGGATGGATGGATGGATGGATGGATGGATGGATGGATGGATGGATGGATGAATGGATGGAGGGATGGAGGATAGATGGATGGATGGATGATGGATGGATGGATGGATGGATGGATGGATGGATGGATGGATGGATGGATGGATGGATGGATTGATGGATGGATGGATGGATGGATGGATGGTTGGATGATGGATGGATGGATGGATGGTTGGATGGATGATAGATGAATGGATGGATGGATGGATGGATGGATGAATGGATGGGTGATAGATAGATAGATAGAACCAAAACAGAACATAACCGTGACAGATATACTGTAGATCGATATATACTTGATATTGAAGAGAAATTTTATTTGAACGTGTGAGTGTATGAAATTTATATGAACATGTAACCCCATTGGAATGAATGAAAACTAATATTAAATTGATATAAACATAAATTTATAGCTCTCTAATAATGAGTGTTCAAAAACAGTCCACATTTCTGAAACCTACATATTTATTAACAAAACAACATAAATATGACTTATTTTTCAAACAAAATTAATTCATTTTACTTGCATAAAATTTCACTGAAAAATTGATACATTTTCACGGCGCAGTGGTTGGTCAATAGGCACATTCATGTTTATCGACAAAATTCAGTCCCGAAACTATGTGAGATACGGAGAAAAGGGGAAATATAATTTACAGAAGCTTTTTGACACTAATATAACTTCCTAGCTCATTTTACAAAAGAGTTTAAGCCTGATGATACTCCGCACATACTTGTGTCAAAAATGACTCGGACACAAACATTTTTTTTTAAATAGTTATATCTCATAACAGAATAAAATGTAAAAAATCTGAAAATACAATGTTGTAAATTTTTGAGGGTCTTAAAGCATTTGCAAAGTTTCCTATCTTTACAAAAAAAAACAATGATTTTTTCTGAAATTTGTATATATGCCTTCTGTGTCAAACCGAGCTGAGTGCATTATGATGTTTAATGTCAGTCTAACTCTGATCCCTCAGACTGCTGACCGAGGTCCGTGTGGATGGACAGCATCCGCTCTCAGTCCTCATCAGCTGTGGCTGGCCAAAGCCGACGTGTGTCTGAGTCTGAACCTGTTCCAACCTGCGAAAGTCCTGCTGACTCACACTCACCTGACAGCCCAGGTGAGCAAACACACACACACACACACTCATTCACACACTCATACACACTCACACTCTCTCACACACACACACTCACTCTCACACACACACACACACACAAACAGTGTGATTTATAAGCGTTTTGAAAAGTGGGGACATGGGGTAATGTCCTGAAAACTCACCTTCTCCTTGTAATACCTGTCATATCTTTGTCATTATACACATTTATGTCCTCATTTGTCACAAAAACGCGTACACTCACACACACACACACATTCACACACTCACTCACTCACTCACTCACTCACTCACACACACACACACACTCATTCTCTCTCTCACACGCACACGCGCACACACACACCACACACTCAGCGTTTTTACCTCATATGCCATGAATACACACTCACACGCACTCACACACTCACTCACTCACTCACTCACTCACTCACTCACTCACTCACTCACTCACTCACTCACTCACTCACTCACTCACTCACTCACTCACTCACTCACTCACTCACTCACTCACTCACTCACTCACTCACTCACTCACTCACTCACTCACTCACTCACACACACACACACTCATTCTCTCTCTCACACGCACACGCGCACACACACACACACCACACACTCAGCGTTTTTACCTCATATGCCATGAATGAAAGCAAGAATGAATTCTGAATGAAATTCAGCTTTAATCACATGACTGAAAAGGTTAAATGATTATTGTATTTTTCAACATTTTTCATTTAATAAATTTCACAAATAGCTGTTAGAAATTTAGTTAGAAATCATATGTATTTAGATTAGTTTAACACAATAATCAATCAGCATTCATTACTCATATTTAAACATTTCAAACAACAGACATCTTGAAATTGGATGTTAAATATAAGACTTTTGGTGTAGTTTTAAGCCAGTTATTCCTGGAGCAATCATAATTTGTTATATTTCTGATTTAGATCAATTCATTTAACACTGTAAAAAAAAAGAATATACTCAGCAAGGCTGCATTTATTTGGTCAAAAATACAGTAAAAATTGTAAAATATTACAATTTAAAACAGCTGTTTTCTGTGTGAATATCTGTTAAGCTGTAATGTATTTCTGTGATGCGCAGCTGTATTTTCAGCATCATTCCTCCAGTCTTCAGTGTCACATGATCTTCAGAAATCAGTATAATATGCTGATCTGCTGCTCGAGAAACATTTCTGATTATTATCAATGCTGAAAAAAGTTGTGCTGCACAATATTTTTGTGGAAACGGTCATATATTAAATTTTTCAGGATTCACAGATAAATAGAAAGTTCAATAGAAAACAGCATTCACCATTATAGTTTATCTTGCAGAAAAAATATAAAATAACAAAAAAAAGCTGTCACTACCTCTCGTATGTATATTGTTGTAAAGATATTCAGATATTTTCACAGTAAAACTTGAAGTTTGAAGATACTGAAATAGATTTTTTGCAGTATGAATTTCACTGTGTCATTTCAATCAGTCATCTGCTGAGTTAATGTCTTCAGATATGTGCTACTGAACCGATTCAGTGAATCTACTTTTCAAATGAGAAACTCAATGAGATCTACCAACTGAAATATAAATAAATAGGCCTAATAAAATGGAAATTTAAATGAACTTACATCTCTTTCCTAATGCATCACTAGAGTCATGAATATGTTTCAGGAGCTTGGAGACCAGCTGTCATTGGCTAAGAGTTTTCTCCTGCTGGCGGTTCTGGCCAATCATGAGCAGCGCTTCGGCGAGGCTCTCGCTCTGCTGCAGGAGGCGCAGGAGATCGGAGGAGACGAGGAGTTCTGCTTTATACTCGCTCAGACGCTCCAAATGACCGTAGTGGAACAGGAAGAACAGGAAACGCATCATCAGGTGCAGAATGAGTGACAGCCGCTCAACTGAGGACAGTCATACACACCAAACGAGTTTAGGGATATTAACATTAACTGAGACAAACATCTGCACCAAACACTGAACAACTTGTATATACTTGAATATTGAACATAATCAAGTCTGTATTCATTATATTTATTTTATTTAAGAATCAATTCTCACTATTAACCAGTTGCTTATTAGCATGCATATTACTAGCATATTGGCTGTGTATTAGTGCTTATAAAGCACATATTCTGCATGACCATATTCTACATCCCTTAATCCACCCCATACCTTAATTAACAACTTCCTTACTAACTATTAATAAGCAGCAAATTTGGAGGCGGAGCCCAGCAAATTGGTCCCTAAACTAAAGTGTGACCAGCATTCCAATAAACATTTCTTTAATGTTTATCAAATATATATTCAAGGATATGTATGTGAGGGGTTCTTAATTCCAGTCCTGGACTTGCCTAAACTGAGTGATAAATGTGATATTTAAATGTTAAATATGAGGGGGGGATTATTTATTATTTATTTATTTATTTTGGATGTGTTTTATCAGATGAAATACACATCATAAGCAGCAAATTTGGAGGCGGAGCCCAGCAAATTGGTCCCTAAACTAAAGTGTGACCAGCATTCCAATAAACATTTCTTTAATGTTTATCAAATATATATTCAAGGATATGTATGTGAGGGGTTCTTAATTCCAGTCCTGGACTTGCCTAAACTGAGTGATAAATGTGATATTTAAATGTTAAATATGGGGGGGGGGGGGATTATTTATTATTTATTTATTTATTTTGGATGTGTGTTTTATCAGATGAAATACACATCTTATATAATTGTTTATTTTCATATTAAACATCACAACTGACATTTGTGACTCAGTTTTAAACAATGTATTAATATTAATTAAAATAACTTATTACTAAATGAAAGTATGGTAATTTACATTGATTTACAGAAGTGTATGTTGTCATATATCAGACATGTAAGTTAATAAAAAATAGTGTGTATATATATATAATTATTATTATTATTATTTTACAAAAGGCTGCTTTAGTCCTTAGGCTCAAAATATCAAATTAAAAGAAAAGAGCATTTGTGTAAAAATTTACTAGAAGAGTTATGTAAATGGAGAGTTACTGTAAATGGAAAACATTTTGTTCTCGCACTAAACACTTTTTGTACAATTAATAAATATTCTTAAAGAATTTTTCCGAGCAATATTAACAGTAAATATCTGGTGTGTGTTGTTCAGGTGTGTGCGATCACAGAACAGGCCTGCAGAGCCATCAGAGCTGTTCTAGAGCAGAGAGGGAACCGAGCTTCAGTCCTCCGCTTCTTCATCGCATCGCTGCAGACCAGGTACAGTCATGGACGCTCAGTGTTTATTAATCAGAGCTGAATTACAGTGACACTGATCCATCTGTGTGTGTGTATGTGTGTGTGTGTGTGAAGGGCCGCTGTGTTTCGTCAGCATTTGTTGAGTTCTGCCGATCCGTCAGTGGAGATGCTGATCTCGGTGTCTGACACGCTCAGACACACTGCTGCTGAACTCCTGCAGCTGGGATACAGGACACACTCCGCCGAAGCCATGCTAGAACACGCAAACACGCTCAGGTGAACACGCCAACACACTCAGGTGAACACGCAAACACACTCAGGTGAACACGCCAACATACTCAGCTGAAGACGCCAATACACTCAGGTGAACACGCCAACACACTCAGGTGAACACGCAAACCCACACAGGTGAACACGCCAACACACTCAGGTGAACACGCAAACACACTCAGGTGAACATGCCAACACACTCAGGTGGACACGCCAACACACTCAGGTGAACACACAAACACACTCAGGTGAACATGCCAACACACTCAGGTGGACACACCAACACACTCAGGTGAACACACAAACACACACAGGTGAACAAGCAAACACACACAGGTGAACAAGCAAACACACTCAGGTGAACAAGCAAACACACTCAGGTGAACACACTCAGGTGAACATGCCAACACACTCAGGTGGATACACCAACACACTCAGGTGAACACACAAACACACTCAGGTGAACAAGCAAACACACACAGGTGAACAAGCAAACACACTCAGGTGAACACGCAAACACACTCAGGTGAACAAGCAAACACACTCAGGTGAACACGCAAACACACTCAGGTGAACACGCAAACACACTCAGGTGAACACGCAAACACACTCAGGTGAACACGCAAACACACTCAGGTGAACACGCAAACACACTCAGGTGAACACGCAAACACACTCAGCGAAACACGCCAACATACTCAGCTGAAGACGCCAAGACACTCAGGTGAACACGCAAACACACTCAGGTGAACACGCCAACACACTCAGGTGAACACGCAAACACACTCAGCTGAAGACGCCAATACACTCAGGTGAACACGCAAACACACTCAGGTGAACACACTCAGGTGAACATGCCAACACACTCAGGTGGACACACCAACACACTCAGGTGAACACACAAACACTCAGGTGAACAAGCAAACCCACACCGGCGAAAAAGCAAACACACTCAGGTGAACACGCCAACACACTCAGGGGAACACGCA